ATGCAGGGCATGGGGGTTAAAGGTTGAGGTGGGTCTGATCCTCATTGGTTGACCTTTAGGCACCCGCGGGGACTTTGACAAGGACTTTTCTTCCCTGGAAGTACAGGTAGGGACTCTCCATTCCCGGAAGTATAGGCCTTCCCTCCTTGCGGATCCCAAAGCTACCAATCACTTTGGCTAGTGAGATGGCATTGGTACATGCCACCTTGATGGGATTGAATTGGAATCCCCTGGCACGTTTCTAACTCTACCATTTGGGGCAAGTCAGGTTGAGCATGTCCCAAATTGTACCTCTCCTCCCTCTCTTTTTTCTGTCACTTCTAACTGTATGCTCCCGAAACTTTAATGTCTGGGTTTTCTCCTGCCCAGCTTGGCTGCCGTGTTTGTGCTGCGTTTGGCTTCTGGTGGCCCACCTGCAGGTGACTCTGACTGTGGAAAGGTGGAGAGGACTAGCAGGGCTCTGTGGTGACCAGTTGGACTTCTTTCAGGATTTAAGATGCAAACCATTTTGGAGCAGGTCCTGTATGGCAGATAGAGCATGGCAGAGCCTGGTTGCTTTTTGTGATGGGTGGTGTTGCAAGGTGCCAGACCAGAGTGTTTGATAAAGGGCACTGCCTCTTTGTGCTGGCAAGCAGCTCCTGTTGAGAAGCTGCGCTCACCCACCCCCAGAGGCCGACTCCCCAGGGAGCTGGCAGCACACTTTGTGTTTTACCCCCAGGGGAGCGGAGCTCTTCCACCCAGCACTCAAAAGGTAAATAAGACTCAAGGCTCGCTCTTCTCCAGTGTAGATGAGGAAACATCAGCCCAGAGAGGGAAATTATTTGGTCAGAGGCAGGCTAAGCTTTCGGGAGCCCCGTGGCAAGGGTGGGGGTGGGGGTTGGAGTCCAGTTTGCCGACAGACAGCGGTGGTGCGGCTGACGCCCAGGAGACACCGTCCGGTGCGGTTCCCCTTTCTGCTTCCCGGAGGATGGTGGGGGCTGGGCCTTTTGTCTCTCGTGGGGAATGTGAAATGCTGCAGAGAGGAGCAATTGTTCTTCTGTGCTTTGTGCTGCTTTATAAGAGAGAAGAGATCAATACACATTTTCTCATACACACACTTGGCAGCCCTCCACCTCCTCTTCCACAGCTCTGACTTGCGGGGGGCGGGGCGGGGGGCCACCACCGAGTGTCAGGACCCTCACCAGCTTTCAGGGCAGGCGATGCAAGCTGCTCATTTTATATCAGCAAGCACATGGTTTAAAGCTGCTTTAAAGGCAGTCAGGTAAGTGGCTGAGGTCATCGAACTTCCAAGTTCAGGGAGTAGTTGGTGGAACGGGCATGGGAGGGGAGGGTCCTGTTGCAGACCCAGCAACTGAGGGGCCTGGGTCGCTACTCCAGGCCAGTCACCTGGCAAGTGTCTAGGGGTAGATCTTCCCTTTTCCAAATTTCTCTGATTTACAGAGGAGGGGAAGAAGTTCTTTGAAGAGTGCTATTAAAAACAAAAAAGGGTCCATAGATCAAAGGCAGAAGTTTGCATTTTATTATTGATCATTATAAATAAAAAGGTTTCTTAGGGAAAAAAATTATAAGCAGACTGTTCAAACTAGAGCCCTATTTTGTGTTGGATTTTTATTTTATCTTTCTTTTACTTAAGTAGCACAAAATAGGGAAAGTTCTTGTCTGTGGATTCATATCATCAAATATCCACCGTGATTGGGAATCGGTTGAGCCAAAACCAAGAATTGGGGTCTCAGTCACGGTCTCCCAGGTGACTGGCAGGATCCATAGTTTAAAAAGATTTATTTGAAAGAGAATCTTCCATCTACTGGTTCATCCCCCAAATGACTGCAGCAGCCAGCACTTGGCCATGCTGATGCCAGGAGCTGTGGACTCCATCATGGTGTCCTGCATGGGTAGTAGGGATGCAAGTACTTGGGCTTTCTTCTGCTTCTTTCCCAGGTGCATTAGCAGGAGAGTTGGCTTTACTCCCTGCACCAGAAAGTGTGGTACTGATGTCTGTAACCTGGTCTTGTACCTTACTGCCATTAAGCAGTTAAGTGTAGACACGAGTAAGAGAGAACTTGCTGCTGTTATTAACAGAAATAGTTACTCAGGAGCCAGCACGTCTTCTGGGCATGGCAGGGTGTTGGAGCTGGGGCTCTGACTGTGCAGCTCCGTCGCATAGAGGAGACTGCTAGAGGGGCGGGGCAGAGAGAAGAGAGGAGGACCTAGGAGCAGGAGGGTAAAATGGATGGGGAGGGCGAAGGAGAGCCAGCAGAAGCTCAGCTCCCAGGGCTTGAGGGAGGGAGTTCAGAGCAGCTCAGCCACAGGTAGAAGAAGTGCTTGCTCCTGACGGTCCAGCAGGCCTGGAACTCTGTGTTGCAGAGCTGGTGTCTTGTGTTTGCTCAGGGATTGCTTCTTTTACATTTGGTTTAGTCCTGAGTTTCTAACCAAATCAAGTCCTCTAGCTTATTACCAGGCATATAGTAGTAGAGGGCTTGCTGAAATCCTATAGGCTGACTACAAATGCCCTCACTAATTTCTGTGTGCTTTGACCCCTAGAAGTTGACACTGGAGCGAGAGATCCTGAGTGTCCCCCCCCCCCCCCCCCGCCAGCCCTGGGTTGCAGGGTAGCAGTCCTGATAGGGATACAAGTGTATCTGGAGTGTCAGTCTCACCGTGTGTGCAGCAGGAGGAAGTGATTCACGTCTAAGCAGTGAAGCATCCCCTGGCTTTTAGCAGGAGCTGTTAGAGGGGCTGCTGTTTGAACAAGGAGCTTCATCTTCCTGAAGCCAGCAGTCACAAAACCGTAAACACAGCACCGGCCAACTCTATTGCCAGGATCGCGCTGGTTTGACGTTAATATTAAACATCTCCAGTAAGGCAGTGGGCTCTGCAGCCCGGCTCCAGAATAAAAATAAATAAAAATAAAGAGGAAACCCTGCTAAAAGCAGTGAGATGATTTGTCGTCTTCCCTTTGTGAGGCCATTTGTCTTCTCTCGCATCAAATCTGTTATAAAACAGTCAAACTGTGAAAGTGGAAATCATCCCAGGAATATGGAATATTAATGCATGGAAAAAGAGTGGCTTCCCTTTTGTCTGAAGTGTGGCTTCTGCCCATCCCACCCCCAGCACCTGTTTGCCAGTCCACTAAGGTGTATGATTTTTCTTTAAAGGAAAAGCAAAGGCTTGGGCTAGCAGTGGAGCTGGTGAAAGTTTGCACTATTCTTCTTCCTTTGTTAAGGTGGAGTGAATGTGTAACTGACTTAGATAAAGAGGGAGTGCAAGCAAGGAGAAAACCTTCACAGACGCAGCCCTATTCCCACTCCTTCCCGTCTTTCAGCTCCTTTGTTTGGGGCCTGAACCTGCATCTTGGAACATCTATAAATCTTGAGTCTGTCTGATCTTCAGGAGACAGGCCAGAGGCCACGTGTCGCTCTGCGTAATTTAAAGCTATAGGGTGAAAAGCATTTGCAGAGGTTTGAAGGACCTAGCTCTGACCTGACCCAAAGAGTGAAGGGAACAGACCTTCCCGAGTCTCCTTCAAGCACCGGGGAGGATGATGGTGATGAGAGCAGAGCTCCGGGTAATTTATGGCCCCGCTCGCTCGCCTGCCAAGGCGCTGGTCACCTGGTTCTCTTAGAAGTGAGTCGGGTACTGCCACCTCGTGGTGGACTTGGGTAGCTGCGTGTTGGCTGCACTGGAACTGAATCAGCTAGCAACTAGAGGTGCTTTGCCTTGTATCTAGATTCAGGTAAATGGCGATAGATGAGGGGTTTATGGAGTCACTCTGTGCTTTGCCACATTGGTCCTGTTAAGAAATAGGTTGGGCGGAAGAAGGGCGCTTCCCCCCACTTTTACCTCCTCTGTTTTGTGCTGTTTTGTTGGATGCGGTGTGGAATTCTGAGGTTTCAGGAAAACAGCCTGCGATCTGCCCTTTGCTCCTGGCGAGTATTGGGAAGAGAGTAGAGGGAGTGAGGCACTGACGTGGCTGCATTCAGGGGCCCTCTGTTTTCTGCTCTCCTAGTTGTTGGGTGTCATTTTGACCGTGTGGTGCCCACACCTCCTAAGAGCTGCGTCTGTGTCTTTGCTTGGTTTGCCTTTCCACTAGTCTGTTCCTCCAAGATCCCATTCTTGTGGTATGCATAAGACCCCCAGGGCTCTGCGCCATGCTGGCTGTTTGGATCAATACCTTCCCCTTTCAGGTCACAGAGACATTTCTCACACACCTTCCTCTCACTTGTAGGAATCCTTGATGCAGAGTAGAACGGACTTGGGTCAGAGAAGCAGAAGGAATGAAAGATTAGAGGGAGGCGACTTTTGGTCTCCAGTGTGAGTGGGGAGCCGACCAGCACACGGTCAGATGGGTCCTTGCCGGAGCCCAGGCCCTCGCGTGTCGGCTGCTGGGTCCCATTCCATTCTTCACCGTCACACATGATCTTGTTGAGTGCTGTGAAGCGGTGAGTTTAAGGAAGACGGTGCCACCAGCTCACTGCCAGGGAGCCAGGATTCACGGGGCTAATCAGTGATTTCCCAAAGGGCACGGACCTGGTAAGGAGCTGCACCCAAATCAGAACCAGGTCGGACTCCAGCTGTGGCCTCTGCGGTATTACACCTTGTGAAAGTGATTTGCTTTATTTTGGGTGGCTGTTACTACTTAAGGACTTCTGTTAAACTTGCACTTCTGGTTTGATTAAATATTCATGAAAGAAAGCTGTTGTGGAGGAAGTGTTGTGGCCCAGAGGGTTAAGCCGCTGCTTGGGATGCCTGCATCTCATACAGGAGTTCTCGATCCAAGTCCTTCCTCTGCGTCGAATTCAGTTTTCTGTTAATCCCTAGGAGGCATCAGATGATGGCCCAAGAAGTAGTTGGGTCCCTGTCACCCACTTGGGAGAACTGGAGGGAGTTCCTGACTCCTGGCTTCAGCTTAGCCCAGCCCCAGCTACTGGGGCTTTTGGGGAGTAAACCAGGATGAACAGTCTCTGTCTCTCTCTCTCTCTCTCTTTCTTTCTGTCTTTCAGATATATTTTAAAAAGAAAAAGAAACTGTTGTCCCATAATCTCTGTGCATCTCCGAGACGTTGTGGAGCAGCAGTAGCATTTGCCCTTGGTCCCCTTGGGTTTCCGCCAGGCAGGATGGACGGCTTTTGTTTGGGATGAGTAGCACTGCCAAGTGGTCATCGGCAAGGCGTCTTCTACAGCGGACATTTGGAATGCCCTGGGCATGTAATGGACAGTGGCAGCTCTGTGGAGGCCATGGAGCCCTGCTCTGCCTGCCCTGAGCTGAGAGACTGTGCTGGCAGTGGCGAGATTGGCTCGGGGGACTCAGGGGCCTTCCTACAGGGCCCCGGCAGACAGGAGGGCTCCCAGGAGTTCCGTCAGGCTGGCAAGAAGGCTTTGTGCCCCGAGCCCTGGAGGAAACTGCAGCCGGTTAACACAGGAAATGACAGATTTAGTGGGGGAAACATCACAAGGATGCAGTGCTGCCACAGGGAAAAGCCGTGAGCACTGTTCCTCTCGTGGCCTGGAGGGACCAGGGCCGTGGGTGCGGGGCACAGGAGAGCAGAGTTGGGTGTTTTTGTGTCTCCCCTGTGCAGTGGGCTGTCCTGGGTGACACTGCGTGCATTCTCCCTGCCTGCCTTCTGCAGTGCCTCTCCTGTCTTTTGTCACCCAATGAAGGTCAGCGCAGCACTAGAAACCAGTTGGTTTGAATTCATTAGACCTGTGTGTTGTGTTTTGAGGCTGGAGAGCATATAGTCTGGTACATGTTTACAGGCTTCCACAGCACTAGGTAAGACAGAAGCACGTGTGTAGGGTGGCCTCAGCCGCATTACCAGTGATTTGTAAAAGCGTGCCGCGTCATCTGCGGCTGGGAGCAGGCACGCATGTGTATTTGGGCACCAACCACCCCCAAGCTGACTCCTCCCGAGCTTTCCACCTTGATCCACACTTCGCCAGACGTGCCAGAATTGGAACCCTTGGTCTGACTTTGTCTTCCTATCCTTTTGTCATTTTCCCTTGATCTTCTGGGTATGTCTAACGGACTGGGTCAAGGGGTTCCTCCAGCACCCAGGAGAGAGGAAAGAAAGGCAAGGATGCATTCTGGGGTGTATCTTGTATATTTGGGAATACTCTCCCCTGTGGAGCCACAAATGAAGTTTCAATCAAGGGCAGATTATACATATGATTTTAATCAGGAAAGTAGCAACATTGCCTTCACTGACGTGCAGGAGACCAACATGTAATGCTTGCTTGGAGACCCTGGTGTATTCTGGGAGGCTAGACAGGTTTCTCTAGGCACAGTGGGGCAGCTGCTCTCTGCTGTCCCCTGCTTTTGCCCACAGGAGCAAGTGGGAACAGCCATGGGGGTGTCTTGGCAGCTTGGGGGTTTCCAGGGCGGGAGAGGAGAGTGTGGTCTTTCCGAGAGCAGACAGTGGAATTCCTCCAGAATCCCCAACAATGCAAGCTACTGACCTAGCAAATTGAAAGCCCCGCACAGACCATTTGCAGGTTTATATGCCCCTTTGTACTGTGCACCCAAATAACATGGCGAGAGATGATGATCTGCGAGAAGTGCATGTGTCCTCGTGTCTGGCCAGGGCTGCATTTTTATACACATGCACCCCCATTTCATTACAGACCATCTTTGCCGTGGAAGTGGTTGCATCTCACAGCTAGCTAACCTGGGTGTACTTTCGGTCTGTCCAGAGAATCACATAATAACGGAGCTGAATCCGAACACGCGCACGCGCACACACGGTCTGTCTTTATGGAAAATGGCTGCTAATCCATGATGATTTTTTTCCAGAAACAGTTTTTATGATAATATAGTAAAAATATTAAATTAGAAAATGCCTCACTAAGGGTTATAAAACCTTACTACACCAGAGATAGGTAATTATCCCCTCTACAGCCTAAATGACAGTTTAAAAGAAATAAAAATGTTAGTGCTCATTACTTGCGTTTGTAGGTTGCAATAAAGGATGAGTTAAATTTTAATTCAAGGAAGGGCCTCTGCTGGCGACCTTCTGCCTTAGGTCGGGCCCTGTTAATTACCGCGTGGGTGGTCGTCCTGCACACCGCCCCTGTTAATGCGTTTTCTACAGTGGACGTTCCCACTGGCCATTGAGACCAGGAGCGTGCAAGGGGAGAGGAACATTTCAGATCAGTGATTCAGATCTTGATTCTTAATGTGATAGGGAGCAGGAATTATGTATTTTTAAGCCAAGTTCATTATGCATAGCCGTAAGGGGTCCTCCAGTATTCACGTCTGCACTCACCCTGGAGAGGCAATGGAGACCAGATTGACTCGCAGGACCATGGTGCGCTTCGCTGTACTGCTCAGTCCCAGTTAGGCAGGGTGCAGTGTGGGGGGGCTGCCACAGCAGAACTGTCTGGTCCTCGTTTTCTACAGTTTGCTTCTCCTGGGCTGCAGTAAGGGATTTGGGCATGTTTTGTTGGTTTCAGATGTTTTCATCTTTCTCTAAGCCCCAGCTCCACATCTAGCACCATTTTTGGGTCTGGGGAGAACTTCAGGGCCCCTGTGCCTCAGCCATCATCCTGGGTTTGCCAAGACTTGCCAGGCAGAGAGAACTGCAGGGGATGGGATACAGCTGTGCCAGAATGGTGGGTTCTCCTTACCTGGCCTTCACCGTCCTCCCGCCTGACCAGGAGGCCACCTCAAGCCTGTCTCTAAGCTTGGGCCTCACCCCGGGCTGGGGACACATCCAGGACACCAAGCACAGGGGCCATTGGAAATGTGGGTGCAGGGACTGACCAAGCAAATGCTGAGGATGGGTCACAGCAGGTTTGAGACAGCTGTGTGAGTGAAAGAACTCAGTGACCCCGCTGTAGTCGCTCCCACCCCTGGCGGGGAGGGTGCTCCGGTGTTTGTGGAAAATGCCACATTCTGAGAAAAGTGTGGGGACTTGAACTTTTTTTTGAAATACCTTCATATTTGTTTGTGACAGAATTTCTCGATGCCTACATCTGTTAACACAATAAAGGAATAGAGCTGATGCTGAATCCTCTTCCATTGTAGCAATAAGTAATTTTCTTCCTTAGATCCTTGAACAGCAGAAGGAAAACCCTCGTGGATATCGGATATCGTTGAGAGATGTACTTGTATAGTGATGGGGGGCATAATTATATTAAATTGTCACTAAAATTGTGATACATTGTACTAGAGTGTCATTGAATATATCAATTATATCCTGATAACTGTAGTGATAACTCAACATAGAAGAAAAATTTTAATCACTTCTCCTTTCTGTTTTTTAAATTTCAAAAAGTTCAAAAATATTTCCATTTATATACTTGTATAACAGGTTGATCAATAAAATAAGTAAAAATTATTATATTAGAAGTCAAGTGGATATACACATTTAAGAAGAAAAAGGTGTCAGATTTCCAAGTTAAACAGTTTGTTTGTTAAATGAATGAGATTCCATTGGGTACTTCACAAATGGGATGTCATAGTTTTGCTTTTAAAAGCTAATATTGCAAACATTCTGGTAGTTGCATCCTTTGTGACTCTGCTTCCTGTGAAAACCTTCCTGTCACACCTGCAGGGGTGTGAGGGGCACGTGGGGCTTTGCGAAGTTCATCCATGGGTTTGCCCGCAGTGACCTCTGCCTGGGCTGGGCCGTGCACCTGCTGAACCCTCCTGCTGCTGCTCCTGGACCCCAGGGAGGTGTGCCTGGGGAATCCAAGGGAGCAGAAGAGCCAGTGCAGCCTGCAGGAACGCAAGTGACAGAGGCACTCCGCAGGCGGACACGGCCCTGATGGGGGTAGTGGCTGAGAAGGACATAAAACTTGAAATTGCTTGGGGACTTTTAGATGGGAATCATCTCTCTCCCTCCATAAGACATTTTAAGAACCCAGACCACTCGGCTTCCCAGGCCGCCTTGCAGCAAGCAGCTGCCTGTGTGCCCGTGTTGCCAGCTTTGCCCACCTGAGTGTGAAATGATGCTCTATCGAAACGCGGGGGCAGCGTCTCCCCCGCTGCTGCCTGCCGAGCCCCGCTGCGCACCGGAACTGCTGCCTGCGCCGGGCGCTCCGCTGACAGTGCACGCCAGTGAAAGCATTTGCTCGGGGGTAATGATGGGGTCTGGGGCTGGCGAGGCGGGGAGGGTGTGATGGTGATGGGCTAAATAGCATTGTGCTTCTGCTCTGCCCGTGGCGTCTTAAAGCCATACTGTCCTTTTTGTCACAGCAACTCTCCCCTTAATGCCATTTCATTTTTTTTTTTTTTTAATAGAAATGGCTAGAGGGACTTGTGTTTGCTGGCAAGTCGGCAGGCTGTGGTGTGGTGGGATGAAGGCTGGCCAGGTGCTGCTGCTGGCCTTGCGAGGGCGCGACCTGGAAGCCAGGCATGCATTTGGTCTGAAGCTGCCTCCACCTGCCTGCGCCTTGCAGGCTGGGTGGGGCGAGGGGCACAGATGTGCCACAGAGGAACAAAGGAGATGGACGGTGCCTGGAGACCCTGCCTGCTTTGTATGCCCAGCGGCTGCTTAGTGGTTCAGGGTGAAGGGACCAGCCATTCTTGGGATAAAATTCCTGCAGTAAAATTGGAGAGCCGTTGTTTTCCTGCCAGCACTGTCCCTCCCCATCTTGTCTTGTTCTGTACTCCCGACTTGGTAAAGACCATTTACCACTGCAGCTTTTGTGGTTTCTTCTTTAAGGTATTCACTCCTTCCTTGTCTAAAACTCTGTTACACTAGTCCTGTGGCTGAATTTCCTGATTCTAATACTTTTCTCTTCCTGTCCACAACTTTAGCAGGGTGATTCACACACATACACACATACAGACACACAAAGACTAATCTGTCTTGGTGAACTAAAATAGCTATTTGGAAGGTGAGGGTTTTTTTTTTCCCCCTTAAAGATTTATTTGCTCGTTTACTTGATGGCCAGAGTGAGAGAAATCTTCCTTCTCTGGTTCACTCCCCAAATGGTCACCACAGCCAAGATTGGGCCAACCAAAAGCCGGGGGCCAGGAACTCACTAGGTAGGTTTCCCACAATGGTTGCAGGAATCCAGGTATTTGGGCCATCTGCCTCTGCCCTCCCAGGAGCATTAGCAGGGAGCTGGATCAGAAGTGGAGCAGCCAGGACTCAAACTGGCTCTCAGATAGGAGATGCTGGCTGCACAAACGGCAGCTTAAGCTGCCCTGCAGCAGTGCTGCCCCTTGGTTTATGTTTAAAGTAAGGTTTGCTGGTGATGACTTTCGGGTAATGGGCATTTTAAGAGCCAGTTTTCTTCCCCTCCTTCTTTCTTTCCTTCCTTCCTCCCTTCCTTTTTTGAAGATTTATTTATTTATTTGAAGGAGTTACAGGGAGGGAAGGACAGAGAGAGAGATCTTCCATCTGTTGGTTCATTCCCCAGACAGCCACAACATCCAGGACTGCATCAGGTTGAACACCAGGCTCCAAAAACTCCATCTGGGTCTTCCACATGGTGGCAGAGGCCCAAGGACTTGGGTTATCTTCCTCTGCTTTCCCAGGCACATTAACAGAGAGCCGGAACCGAAGTGGCGAAGCCGGGACAGGAACCTGTGCCCATATGGGATGTCAGGGTCTCAGGCAGTGGCTTTACCAGCTACACCACAACCCTGGTCCCTGAAAACCAGTTTTCTTAACAAGGAAGGCAGGCTGTATTTTCAGTTGGGCTGTGAACATGTCAGAGCAAGCATGACTTCCTCCTTGGGGGTGTTGACTCCTGGTCCATGCCCTGTGCTGGGTGCCCACCGTCCTGTGAGGGTGGTGGCTGGCCCTTTGTGCGGAGTGCACACATGAGCCGCCTGCTTGAGTTGGCCTTGTGCAGCTCCCCACCCGCCCCGCCCCTGTCCCTTGTCAGGAACATTCTCACCTGTGTAAGAATGCTCCATCCACAGGAAAGCCCTCTGGAGTTTGTGTCATAGCAACAGGAAGGGTCTCCCTGCTTTGAGATTTCCCAGTCTTGGCCAGGTGGTGTTTTTTGTTTGTTTGTTTGTTTGTAAGATTTATTTATTCATTTGAAAGGCAGAGTACAGATGGGAGATGGGGCGGTGAGAGAGAAAGGTCTTCCATCTGCTGGTTCACTCTCCAAATGGCTGCAACAGCCGGAGCTGAGCTGATCCGAAGCCAGGAGCAAGGCATTTCTTCCAGGTCTCCCACATGGGTGTAGGGGCCCAGGGACGTTGGTCATCTTCCACTGCTCTCCCAGGCCTTTGGGTAGAGAGCTAGATCAGAAGTGACAGGACTTGAACCGATGTCTATATGGGCACTGCAGGCGGAGACTTAAGCTACTGTGCCACAGCGCTGGCCCCCTTTGGCCAGATGTTTTGTTTGTGTGCTGCATTTAATAACAGGAGCACAGGTTGGAAGTCATCATTTATTTTCAAGAACCCAAGACCCTAGCATGTAGTGATTTGTTTTTATGGCAAAACCCAACTTTGGAAATAAATTAGCCAATCAAATTGTTTATTAGGCTGAGAGCAGAGAAAGAGGGACTGGGCAGTGGGGAGGGCCTTGCCTTGCTCCTAAACAGCTGCACACATGATGGTAATTGGAATCTTGTTGCTGGGTCATTTTCATTGTTTTTCTAGTACTGCCAAGTCCAAGAAAATGTATGGAAACTAAATTATATCCCCTGCATCTCGTGTCTGATTGAATCCTCCTCGTGGCGTGGCAGTCTCATGCCTCCTATTAAAATATTCCATCTTGTCTTCTTACTTGAAGAGCCCTCTGCAAAGGGCGGACGGACAGAAAACTCATTCCCTAGAGACAGGGTTTCCAGCCACACCGGACTGTTGACATAGCTCACTATCTGATTCCCATATATTTGTGAACAAGAGCTGTGGGATGCCTTTTTAATTATATGGCTGTGTTTTCAATTGGAGAAGCAGATTAGGGTCCTTCACAGCTTCTTGCTTTCCTTGTAACCTTGAAAAGCTAGCCAAAGTGTTAACCAGTTTGTTTGGTTTCTTTTCCAGGACAGAGCTGTATCGATCCCTCTTTGGCCAGCTCAACCCTCCCGACGAAGGCCCCCAGGACTGACGGCTTCCCTCGTCCCCAGCTGCAGGCCCAGTGCGGCCCTCTCAGCACCCAGCAGCGCCTCAGCCAATCGGGCTGTTCGTCCAGATGGACCGTTGACTTGATGGGTTCAGCTAGCAGGGCAGTCCCGGGCAGATGCTCTCTTGAGAACACGTGCCTAAGGCCTGCAAGGGACCTCCAGGCCCATGCCCTTCGCCCACCACAACCAAAGATGGGTGTCACCGCCACCCCCGCCTGTGCTTTCCTGAGTAGCTCAGGGGAGGCTGGCAGAGCTCTGGCAGGATGCACGTTTGTCGGGAAGGCCTCCTACGCACAATAGAAAGCTTTGCATTTCTGTATCTGTTCACCCCTTAATGAACATTTAGGTTGCTTCTGTGTCTTGGGTGTTGGGAATTGTGGGAGTGACTCCAGTTCCCTTGTGTAAAGCCCAGAGGCAGGGTTGCTTGGTCATACGGCAGCTGTGTTTGAGCGCTTCCAGGCACCGCCGTGTGTGTTCCCACAGTGGCTGTGCAAGGGCTCCTGCTCGTCATGCCCTCGCCAGCACGCGTTCTTGTTGTCTCCAGGGTGATGGCCGTTCCAGCAGGTGAGCTCATTGCCTGTCCCTCGGGGTTAGTGATGCTGTTGGCCACTTGCATATCTGCTTTTGATAGACTTCTGTCTTTTGTCATTTTTTAAGTGAATTGTTCTGTTTCTGCTGAGTTGTTTGTGTTCCTTATATGGAAGTATGAATAAAGAAAATGTGTTCTATATATACAATGGAATAGTACTCAGCCTTGAAAAGGAAGGAAATTCTGTCATTCGGGACAGCGTGGATGAACCTGGGGGACGTTATGCTGAATGAACTGAACCAGGCAGAGAGAAGTCCGTGCCGGCTGACTCAGGTGCCGGCTCTGAAAACTTCGAGCCCAGAAGTGAGGGGCAGGATGGTCCTCAGGGGCTGGGAGTTGGCGGTCATGTGTCGAGTTTGAGCTGGTGAGGAGTGAGTTTTGAGATCTGTTGCACAGAAGGGCGACTACAGTCAGTGTGTTCTGTTTCAAAACAAGTTAGTGAGTTCTGAATGTCTTGCACAAAACGAGAAGCAAGTCAGATGCTGGCTGTGCTACGCGGCTCGGGTTACTCGTTCCACAGCACGACAGCTGATGGAGCATCATATCAGACTCCGTGGATGTGCGCAATTGTGATGTGTCAGTTACAAATCATGTTTCAGAGGAAACAGCCATGGAGCGGGATGCTGCTTCCGGTGGACGCCGTGCCCTGGTTTGTCAGGGCGCTGAGGAGCAGGGAGTCCTCGCCAGCCTGGCGTCAGTGCCCCGAGGAAGCCCTGTGACTGAGATGGCTGCTGTTGGTAACCGAGTGCACATCTCTGGCTGCTTTCTTGTTGCTGCTTTTCTCGTGGGATGACTCTTCCAGAGTCCTCTTCTGTTCTCGCCATTCCTAAATCACATTATTGAGATTAGCTTTGGTGTAAATCTAGCAGGAAGAGATGATTCACTTGTTTTTCATCCAAAGGTCAAAAGCTGGAAATTAAATCCCCATAAGGGGGATTTATTGGCCTGCTGTGGTCAATATGCAGCGCAGATTATCTTGCATAAGGAATGTGCGTGATGGGTGTGCCTGGGTTAAGTCTGCCCATCTCCTGCGTCCTGTGCCCTGTTTCTCGTTAGCGCTGCAGGTTTAGGGGAGAAATGCTGAATCCAGGCAAGTGAGGCCAGTTGTATTTAGGAAGCAGTCACTGTTTTTTTTTTGTTTGTTTGTTTGTTTGTTTTTTAAAGATTTATTTATTTATTTGAAAGAGTTACACAGATAAAGAAGGAGAGACAGAGAGAGGTAGAGACAGAAAAAGAGGTCTTCCATCTGCTGGTTCACTCCCCAGCTGGCCGCAATGGCCGGAGTTGTGCTGATCCAAAGCCAGGAGTCAGGAGCTTCCTCCAGGTCTCCCACGTGAGTGCAGGGGCCCAAGGACTTGGGCCATCTTCTGTTTTCCCAGGCCAGAGCAGAGAGCTGGATTGGAAGTGGAGCAGCCGGGACTTGAACCAGCACCCATATGGGATGCCAGCACTGCAGGCGGTGGCTTCACCTGCTGTTCCACAGCGCCGACCCCTGTTTTCAAAGTCTGGGTTTGATTTTCATTTTTCATTTATTTATTTGGAAGGCATAGTGACAGAAGGAGAGAACGAGTGAGCAAGAGACGGAGACACAGAAAGATCTCCTGTCCACTGGTTCACTCCCCAAATACCTGCAACAGCCGAGGCTGGGGCAGGCTGAAGCTAGAAGCCAGGAGCTGCATCCTGATCCCAGGAGGGTGGCAAGTTCCCAAGTACCTGGGCCGGCCTCCACTGCCTTCCAGGTGCATTAGCTGGCAGCCAGATGGGAAGTGCAGGTGGGCTCTAGCTCTATCCCAGGCCTTTGTGTACAGGATGTTGACGTCCCAAATGGTATCTCATTCTGCTGTGCCACTGTTTTGCAGTGTCAAGACCAAAAACCAGGTCTTTCCTGCCCAGGAATCCTGTGTGCCTGGAGCTGGACTTTGGAGTGAGGCCCGAGTGTAATCTCCATGTGCTGAGCTCGGGATGGGGCAAGTGGAGAGGGGTCTTCTCCATCTCCCCATCTTTACCACCTCAGTTCATGGTGATTGGCTTCTTGTCTCAGCACTTGTTCTTGGGCTTGATTGTCAGGGACACGTTTAACTTGCAGTGTGTCCCCAGCTACCCAAAAGATCAGCCAGCAGAAATGGGAGCATTCCCCTGCATTCACCCATTTTCAAATGATCCCTTTTGAAAATGCAGGAGGATGTGCAGTCCTGTCCGCGTGGCCCGAGGATTCTGGCTGGTGCGCGGCACAGTGGCAGGGCAGTGGCCTGCTCCGTGAAACTGGTGAGCCGACGCCTTCCCTCCCAAGGCTGGAGCCACTCTTCATCTGATGAAGATGGGTTAAAAAGGTTCTGCAAAGTATTTGGAGTCCAGCATGTTTAATTAAAATGAGCTAGAAACAGGGGAGATGAAAAAGGAACTGACAGAAAGCTCACTAAAGGGAGGCCTGCGTTTTAAAATTCACGAGACTACCCTCCTTCCAGCCAAGAATAAATTGGAAACTATTTTAATTGACACGGATACTGCAATTCAACTGTTACTAGAAAGACAGATTAGTTGATTGATTTGCATTTTAATAAAACTAATACTTTACATTTTGGTAGCTAATGCTGATTTTTAAATGAGTTGAGAACAGTTATCAAGAGTTTCAATCCAGAGCCCTTTTTCAGTGTTGACTGAAGCATTCCTCTCTTTTGTGTGCAGTTTGCTTATTTTATTTTTGCCCAGCTGAGTGCTTCACACACGACACTCGTTGGCCTTGGAGACCTCAGCAGGAAGGGCAGCAAGGCTATGGGCTGCACATAGCAGATGCAAGCAAGGCTGCCGGCCAGGTCTGCAGCACCCTGGGAGTGGGGGCCGCCGCGTGGGGCCACTCCCTTCAGGACAGAGAGCGGGAAGGCTGGCTTCTTGCCTATTCTGTTTGATTCAGCTCAGATCCCACCACCCGGACACAAGCACTTCTCAGTATTAACATTGTAGTGCTTCCCTGTGTAGGTACCAGGAATGTCCCCAGTGGTTCTCAGTAGAAAAAAAACAAGGAGCAGTTAGGGTGGAAGCCTTGGTTCTTACTTTTGGACTCTGAACTGTTTTACTCACCCTTTAAAAGTACTAGAATAAAATACCTGTGCACCCGCACCTGCCACACCCGCTCCCTGCCCCCTGCGTCGCACACATCCACCACCAGCTGAGAACAGTGCCAAACAAGAGGATTTCCCTGATTCTGCAGGTGCCATGTTTTAATTGCTAACTAATTCCATCCGGGATATGCACTATTACTATTTAACCAAACCCTGTGTTGGCTACACTTCCGTTGCTTCCAGGTTTTTGCTGTTATGAATAGTGTTACAGGAAAACGTTTGTGCCTCAAGCCTGTTGTGTTTTTTGAAGCTTGTTTTTCTTGGCATATGTTACGTTTTTAGGAGTCAAGCGAGTCAGGTGCAAGGGCCCAGATCGGGGCAGGTTCTCGGGACATGGTCTGGCTTTCAGCTCCTGCCCTGTCGTCTCCCTCACCGTACCAGGCATCTGCAACAGGCTGCTGAGACTGGCCCTGGGGGGTGATGCTGGGGTTTGTTCTTGCTCCCCAGGGAACCCTTCTGCGGGGCTGGGGCTGGGTGCTCCCCTGTGGTTTTCCTGCCCCAGCTGCTCACCCTGCCTTTATCCTGGGGACCTCCCACGAAGGTTTCCCTGTGTCTCCCTCTACTCTGCACTTCGATGAGGGTGTGTCCTGGGCCCCTTCCGAGGGTCATTTGGAAACCCTGAGTGTCAGAAGAAGACACCAGGAAAAGCCAGCTCCCACCGGCTAAGAGTCTACATCTGCAGCGTGCACAGAGAGGCAGCTCGAACCCCTCCGAGATGGCCGCCTCTTCTCCTCGGTCTGTCTGAGCCCAAGGGAGCCCAGTCGGAGGCTTCGAGTTAATGCCAGTGTGATGTTCATTCTGACCTCAGGCCATTCCCCAGGACGGTGCAGACTCTGTGTGAAATGCATTAGCGCCAGGGTCTGCATGGGCCCCCCCGCACACAGAGATGGGGGACGTTGGAGGGGAGCGGAGGCTGATTCTGCATCAGAGTGTCTGCCTCACCTGCCCACCGGCTGTCCCGCCTTGCATCTTAGAAGGGCAAACCTTGGCCCTGGACCTTCATTTGTTTTTACTTTTCAAATCCCCATATGTTAAATATTTCTTTAAAAAAAATTATTTTAGGCCGGCGCCGTGGCTCACTAGGCTAATCCTCCGCCTAGCGGCGCCGGCACACCGGGTTCTAGTCCCGGTCGGGGCACCGGATTCTGTCCCGGTTGCCCCTCTTCCAGGCCAGCTCTCTGCTGTGGCCAGGGAGTGCAATGGAGGATGGCCCAGGTGCTTGGGCCCTGCACCCCATGGGAGACCAGGAAAAGC